TCTGTTACTCGTCCGTGGATATTCAAATTAACACAGGAAACTCTTGATGCTATCAGGAGTTTGCATAAATCACTTGCTCCACTGCAACTCAACTCTCCCCACATGTTTACAGTAAATGAATGCAGTTTAAACGCGCCAACTCTTTCATTTCGAAAAGGACGAAGACAGCGGGCCACCTGTTGAGTTCTTATTTTGCCAACTACGTCCGGTTTAATTGTAAGAGACAGGGAGGACGACCTTTTAGCAGCATAGAGAGCCTCACTGATATTTACCCAGTTGTCAGGAAGTCCTCCAAACACTTTTAAATCCAGTGACTTTAAAGCACTATTTCCAAGAACACCCATTTTTAACGAAGTGAAAGCAGAGCAGCTGACGCTTCCAGAAACAATCAATGTGAGGGATTGTAAGAACGGATTAGTCGCGAGTCCTTCGCCGATTGAAGTCGCCAATGAATCGTGCATGTCTCCATAAAAAGCGAGGCTAAGAGATTTAAGCGATCTCTTCAATAACAATTTTTTCAAAGGCTTTTTTTCACTTTCCCTTACCGAGCCACTGATCTCCAGAACAACAGATGTCAGCAGACTTTCTCCACACAATCCCTTTTCAAGAACAGTCGTCCAATTCTCACCAAACAGTTTTAAAGTCGTGGTTTGTAGTGCTTTGTTTGCAGCTAAACTGTCACCAATAGCAACAGCCTCCTCCGAGGAAAAAGGAAAATGTCGTTCAAAAGTAAAGGAATGTAAAGATAAGTTCACTTTAAGTGCACTACACACAGCTGGTGTTACGTCTATATCTTCATGAAAATTAGAAACGACAATAGTTTCTAGACTTGAGTACGAGGCTAGAAACTCATCAGGATCATCACCAACTGTGTAACCCCAATCTTCAATAACAGGATAATCACGAAATCCGGGCGGTACTCGGGCATCCGAATCGAATACGGTAAGATTAACGGGTAGTTGTAATTGTGTGAAGCTCTTGCAATCATTTACAACAGATGGGAACGCTCTCAATGAGTTCTCCCTCATGTCAATGAATATTGACCCAGGAAACGGGACATAGGAACATAGAGTCACTGCCATTTGTTCAGCATTTCTATTTTCACTGAAACACTCAATGAAGAAAGTCGCCTCTTGCCGGGTGCAATTCGGCCAGTCCCAATCTGTCATCTGCAGATTCTCAGCAATGTGATCAAACAGAGTATTAGCATCTTCGCCCAGCATGCGAAACACAAAGAGAAACACTTGATTGTATTTACTTGTAACCTCACGAAATTTTAACTTCAAATCACGAAAGACGTTAACTTTCCCATTCAGTAGCTTGGGTGCGAGATATAATGCCGCCAAGTACTCCTGAAAAGTTTTGTGGAAAAAGTGATATTCGTGCTGAGGGTTGATCTTCCTAGAACTGGCTTCTTTAAATATCAAACCAAGTTTACGAGCNTTGTAGGAAGGTGTTTTCTTGAATTGCCTGAATAAGCCACTCTCCTTTTTGTTCATCGACACGAACAAAGTGCTTTCTAATGTATTGGAATGCGTCTGCTTCGGTGAACCCCTTAATTTGAAGAAGAACAGCAAAGTTTCCATTCTGCCGCACTAAAATTCCTTTTTCTTGACGAGATGTAGCCAATATATGGCAAAATGACCAACGTTGTCTATCTAGTAACTCGTTCACATGGTTTTCAGCTGTTTCGGGAAGCTCATCAAGGCCATCCAAAACGATCAAGATGCTCGGCTGATTATGAATGTCCTCGATGTAATCTAGCAGCCTTTTCTTAGCCTCTTTCTCCATATCATTGGGGAAGAGCTGATCAAAAATGGCTTCGCGTATATTCTCACGGATATCTCGGCATTTCAGTAGCAGCAGAAGTTTAAAAACTGGGAAAGTGGATTCATCTGGGATTTTTTTGTTTGCCCAGTCATGACAGATTTTAAGACAAAAAGTTGTCTTTCCAATTCCAGGGCTTCCTTCCACTAGAACCATGGCATCGTCACCTTTGTTCAGAGTGTTAAAGACGTCAAACATGTTCACTTCATTGTCTTCCAACTTGGAATCAGTTATTCTTCTTGAGACGATTGACAATCTAGTATAAACATCATCAAGACGTAGCCTGAAGGTGCTGTCCCAGAGGAGGGGTTTTATAAGGGCCCGTCTGTTGTACTCTCTTTTGAGAAATTTCGTAAACAAACGAAGAGCACGATCTACAGAAAATGGATGAAAACAAAATGGTAAAGTTCTATACTATTTCCAAGTAACTCTTCTAAAGACTAAACTTGCAGTTATTTACAGTTATAACTTTTCATTACACAGTTTATGATGGTAGTATTTCATGCATTTACATTGAACACACACGTTGATGACCAGAAACTATGGCATTCATCCCTAAAAGTTACTCAAGTACTTTAATGTCTAGCAACCACGGTGAGGCTAAAACACCATAACTCAAATGCTTAAATTCAACGAACTAATGAAACCATATCCTTTACAGACATGTTATGCGATGATATCGAACAGGAAGTAAAATCTGAGGACATTGGTACATAGAAATAGACTTCAGAGTTGTTTTATTTATACATGCACTTTGAAAGAGCACAGAGCTTTAACTTTGGAAAAAAAGGAAATTACTACATTTTTTCTTCGTTACTTGCATACGACTCCTTTATTCATATCCCTGCGGTAGAATTGTCTGGTGATGGGTGAAAAGCCTTCCTTGTTTAACCATGAAATTAAATATGCTCATAAGAACTAAACCACAA